GAAGGAAGCGGCCGCGATCCTCGTGAGGGGCGTGCCGACATGGGCGTCGACATTGATGCGCGTAGACTGATTCGCACGCAGATGCATTCACAATCAGACTTACTCGCGCTCAGGCTCACCCGGTCTCAGTCTCGCGCACTCAGAGCGATCGTCTTTGTTCGTAATGGGGACCCCGCCACGCATTTCGGCACGCCCCCTTCACACGGTTCGTGGCCCCATAGGGAGCGCGAGCGAAGATGAGATCCACAATCGCGGTATTCACAACTGCATATGGTTGGGTCCTTCGCCAGGCTAATTTTATCCATGTCGCCAAAAAACGTTACAACATGAACGTGTGACGCTTTCTTTCCGGAGCCCATTGAGAAATCACATCACGGCCATATTCCATTGGGGTCTTGTTTGGTTGATTCGTTAAACTATTTATAAAATTCAAATTATCCGAGATGTTCGCTGACTTCGGCGTTTCCTGAGTGTTCCTAGATGGAAAGGCTGAGTGTTAGCCTGGGAGCCCGCTGATGCATGACACCACGGCCACATGCCCCTGATAGGGGTTTCTATGGACGAAGGGACATTCTGCGCGTTTTCATTTGATTTCGTGGAAGTTCGGGCGCCCTTCGGGCGCCTGGGGCGCCAAACAGAGGCGACAATCGGGGAACAAGTGGACAAACAGGAGGGAACCAATGCACGAGTTCGTTGCGCACAAGAAGCAAAAAGTTTGCGGCACATGGGCGAATCCCAAATATGAACAACTATTCCGCCATCGGGTGTCTAGCGGCGATGCAGTTTGCACGACGGGCAGTATTCAAGTCATAGACGGGATTCGGAGCCACGTGCGCGAGGTCATGTCCACCCGCTCCCCGTCATGTCCAGCCGCTCCCCGTACGATCGGTATCGCTCCGCGTGGCTATTCTTGAGTACTGGTTTAGATGTATGGGCGCAGACTAGCGCGATGTACTGTGTGAACGCTTTTGTCCGAACTGATGAACAATAGCGATGCGTTCTGGCTGGCCTGGCTGATCCGATTGACCTCGTAGATGTTATTGGTGGTCGGTCTATGGGAGCGACTTGGGCTGATTGATCTGATCGGGGCGATTCTTGTCTTTTCTCGCGCGGTTGTCGTGGCTGGTATAGCTGGCTCTTTCGTTTGACGGGTACCACTGATACTACGGGCATGGCGGTTTTGTTTTATCTTGATTGCAGTTTTGGGGCAGGGCTGAGGACGCGAACGACAAAACAAACTTCCCCATGTAGCGACAGCGAAGACACCGTTTTCAGGAACCGTCCTTAGTCGGAGGTGAGGGGGTGAGACCGAAGTGGAACGGAGAGCCCCCCTACCGACCGGGAAATCGGTTTCGGTTTCGTGTTCGTGCGTGCCGTGCGTGCGGGCGAGGCGAAGCTGCGTGGGCGGGCGAGATATAAGTCTCCTGTAGCTGAGGCGCGGCCGGACCAAACGTTTCCGTTCCGGCAACCGGTGCCCCGCGGTGTCCCGCCGGTGTCCCGCTCGGGGACCAGTGGCGCGTGGTGTCCCGCCGGTGTCTCGTCGGTGTCCCGATGATGATGATGATGAAGATGATGATGATGATGATGATGATGATGATGATGATGATGATGATGATGATGATGATGATGTTGTTGCTGTTTTTGACGATGATGATGATGAGGACGGTGATGGTGGTGATGATGATTGTGTCCCGATGATGATGATGCTTGTGTTGACGGTGTTGATGATGATGGTGATGGTGATGGTGGTGATGATGATGGTGCCCCGATGGTGATGATGCTGTTGTTGATGATGATGTTGTTGATGATGGTGATGGTGCCCGGTGGTGGTGATGTTGGTGATGCTGACGATGTTGATGATGGTCAGATGATTAGATGACGATGATGAAGATGAGGATGCTGGTGTCCCGATGATGATGATATTGATGACGATGACGTTGTTGATGATGATCGTGATGATGATGGTGCACCGATGATGACGATGATTATGATTATGAAAATCATGATGATGACGATGATGGTGTCCCGATCATGGTGATGATGATGTTGATGATGAGGATGATGATGAGGTGATGATGATGCTTTTGATGATGGTGGCCCATTGATGGTGATGATGATGCTGATGGTGTTGATGATGATGATGATGGTGTCCCGATGATGATGATGTTGATGGTGATGATGCTGATGGTGACGATGATGGTGTTCCGATGGTGATTAGCTTGGTGATGATGAGGATGATGATTCTAATGATGATGGTGTCCCGATGCTGTTGATTATGATGATGTTGATGATTTTTTTTTGTTTTTGCAATCGTGATGATGATATGATGATGGTATTGATGATGGTTGTGTTCCGATGATGCTGATATTGGTGGCCCATTGATGATGATGATGATGATGTTGTTCATGATGATGATGGTGGCAATGCTAGTGATCCGATGATGGTGAAGGTGATGATGACGTTGGTGATGATGGTGATGAGGTGATGCTGAAGATGAAGGTGTCCCGATGATGCTGAGGATGATGTTGATGACGTTGATGATGATGATCCTGATGATGATGACGTTGATTGTGATATCGATTGTGACGTCGATGGTATGGTGAGATCGATCGCCAGACCGAATGCTAGATCGGTTGTGAGATCGATCGTGCGATCGATAGTGAGATCGATTGTGCGATCGATAGCTAGATCGTTTGTGAGATCGATCGAATGATATAGATCGAGCGATATCGATTGTGATATCGATCGAGGGAGACCGAGAGTGAGATCGATCGTGAGATCGATTGTGAGACCGATCGAGTGAGACGTTGGTTCCCCCCCCGAACCTCCTTATCACCCGAAGGGTGGTCGTATGAGTATGTTATATGGTATATGCTAACATATGTATACCTTTAGATATTTTTGGCGTAGGCATTCTGGGGCGCCCAAACCAGCTGTCTGGAACCCCCATGGATGGAACGGGGCCCGGGGGTGCCCCACGAAAGATCCAAAACGGGTCCCGAGGGTGTCGATGCGGCCTTCGAGCCCGCCAAGACGGCCCAAAGTAGCCTCCAGATGCCCCAAGAGAGCCCCCGAAGCGTTCCAAGACGCCCTGACATGTTTTCCCAACGGCCCCAACATGTCCACGAAAGCCTCACGAAGTCCTTGACGAGCCTCTCGAGAGACTTCGACAGGACAAAATATATTGGAAGCCTCGGGAACATGTGTGGTTCTGGCTTTGTCGCCGTTTCGGTGCCGTTGCGCTTCCGAAGCTTGAGCACGGCTCTGAAACAGAAAAAACAAAAACACCCGAGAGGCTTCGACAACGCCCCAAACAGGCCCCGAGAGACAACTAATAAACTCCAAAGAGGTCGCCAAGAGGCCCCAAGAGCGTGTTTCTCGATTGCTTGGGGCACAATGGGCATGATAGCCCCCTGTGCTCCCCAGACCCCCCACCTCTATAACGTAACGCCCCCCACACACCCCCAGTGCGCCCAGGGCATTGCCGCCGTGCGCATCGGGATCCGCACAGGCGTCCGCATAGGAATCCGCATAGGGGTCTGGTCCGCAGTCGTTGTCGTCGTCGTCGTCGTTGTCGTCGTCGTCGTCGTCGTCGCTCGTCGCTCGTCGCTCATCGTCGTCGTGCGCGCGGACGCGGCTGGAGCCTGTTTTCTTGTTCCAGGCCGGTGACGGCCGTCATTTGGGGGGGGCAAGACGTCCCGTTTCGCGGCGGCGGCGTCTGGGAACACCTAAGAATGACCGCGGGCGGGTAGCAGTAGCATGTAGGTGGCGATCTGCACCACAGTGCATGTGTACACCACAGTGTCCGCGTGCACCACACGCCTGCGTACACCAAGCCGCCTACATACACCACAACAGCCGCGTGCAGCACAGCGCCAGTGTGTGACAGTGCTTGCGAACACCACAACGCTTGTGTACACCACAGCGCCTGCGTACACCAGTTCAGCCGTGTGCAACACAGCACCAGTGTACACCACAATGCCTGCGTGCACTACAGCGCCTGTGTGCACCACGGCGCCCGCGTGCTCCGCAGCAACCGTGCGCAACAGAGCACCACCGTTGCAGATTCAATGTTAGAAGAAGTCCTTATGACAAACTGGAACGCCAGTGGATTCCACCGAAAACAACGGTTATTTTTAGGATTCGGAAAGGAGTCCTTGTGGAAAATGGAGCGCCGCTGGAATCTACAAGTCTTCCCGAGTCCAGCCGCATCATCCTAACTCCTCCCATCTGCGTCCAGGAGGCTCAAGCAGGAGTGGCCATCTGGGAACCAAGTGGATTGGTTCAATAGACCTTTCTGCGGTTCACGCTGAAATTGGCACGTGCGCTGTATCGCCGACCCGCACGACAGGGGGGAACGGTAAACGAGGAAGAGGAGAAGGACGAGGAGGGAGGAGGAGGAGGAGGAGGAGGAGCGTTGTGGTGCACGCAAGCACTGTGGTGTACACGGGCGCTGTGTTGCACATGGTTGATGCGGTTTGCACATTCTCCGTGGTGTACACCAGCGTCGTGGTGCACGCAAGCACTGTGATGTACTTAGGCGCTGCGTTGCACACGGCTGTGGCGGTGTACGCAGGCACTGTGGTGTACACGCGCGGTATGGTGCACGCGAGCACTGTGGTGTACACAGGCGTTATGGGGCAGATCGCCACCTACATGCTGCTCCTAGTTGGCCCCAGTCATCTATAGGCATTCCGGGACGCCGCCGGGGCGGAACGTGACGTCATCTGGGGGGGGGCGGGGCCGATGACGGCCGCTATCCCGGAAAATAACAAAAGTGCTCCTGTGGTGCCGGAGCCACACGGTGGGGCGGGGGCGTTACGTTATACCCCCCCGCCCCCCCCCTTCTAACGCCCATGATCGCCGAAAATAAAAAAACGCGCTCGAAGGGGCTCCAAAGAGGCTCTGAGATGCCTGATGGGGCACCGAAGACGCTCCAAACGCCCCTGAGAGGCCCCAGTGTGCCCGAAGAGGCCCCGCAGAGACCCCCTCACGAGGCCCCAAAAGACCACCCAAACGTTCCCTCCGTAGCCATTTTGGCTCAAGCATTTTGTAACACACCTTCACATTCGTGCTTCAGCATATCACAGCACCCTCCTCGGTGCCATGAAGCCGTCGGACACACCGGCGTTGTTCATGTTGCTAGGCTGCGCAGGAGCCTTGCATTTCGACAGGGCCGAGCCTCGCGCGGCGACCGCCACTGATGCAGCTGCCACCTGGGAGAAGCAGGCGGCGCAGTCGACCCTGACAGTGGAATACCTGATTGTCGGCGGCGGCGGTGGCGGCGCTTCCGGAGGCGGCGGCGGCGGCGGTGTGCTCCAAGGGACGGGTCTGGTCATGTCTGTCGACGAAGTCATCACGGTTGGCGCCGGCGGTCTCGGAGGTTCGGGGGGCAGCGGCACCACTGCGGAGGCGACGAACGGAGGAGATTCTTCGATCGGCTCTCTGGTGGCATATGGCGGTGGCAAGGGTGCGGGGGGCAGTTCCAGGACTGCCTCCAGCGGAGGCTCAGGCGGTGGAGGCGCCTACGATCTGCCGAGTGTTGCCTACGCGGCTGGGGTCGCGGGACAGGGCTACCGGGGTGGGCGCAGCGACAGGGGGGGGTACGGCGCAGGCGGTGGCGGCGGCGGTGCGGGCGGCGTTGGGAGCGACGCGCCCCAGCAGCACTACGGAGGAGATGGTGGCGTTGGAGTGGCGTCGTCGATTTCAGGCACCTCTACGTATTACGGCGGAGGCGGTGGCGGTGGCGTGAACGCAAATTGCGGTTGCACCACTTATCCAGGAGGGGCCGGCGGCCTAGGGGGCGGCGGCGATGGAAGCAGTTACGGCGGTGGTGGCGGCGCTTACTTCAATGGCGAAGATGGGCAGGCAAACACTGGCGGTGGTGGCGGCGGCACGGATCCTGAGTCTTCCTTGGCTGGCAATGGAGGGTCTGGCATCGTGATCATCAGGTACCTGAGTTCCACCCCGTTGCTCCAAGGTGGCACAGTCACCACGAGCAATGGCTACCAAATTCATACTTTCACAGCAACTGGATCGCAGACCGTGGCAGTCGAGGCGGCATGCGGTGCGTGGCGCTACTACAGGTACTATGTCCCAGTCGCGAGTGCAAACCCACAGCATCTGTGCATCAATGAGATGCAGTACTTGTACGGTGGTAGCGTGCTCTCAACACCTGCAACTCACTGCGGCAGTGCACCGTGCGCTTTTGCTACTTCCGGATTCTACTCGGATTGGAGCCCCGAGAAAGCTTTCGATCAAAGCAATTATGCAATGTATGGCAGTGGATATTGCAATGAAGCCGGTGATGGTTATCCCCGAGGGGCTGGGTGGTTGGCGTACGACTTCGGAGTGCCGACACAAGTCGATCGGGTCAAGATTTGGTTTTGGAGAGGTGATCACAGCGCGAGTGGGACGGCCTACATGGAAGGCTCAAACGATGCGGTCACATGGACAACTTTGAAAACGATTACAGACACTGATTATGCGACACTCGATACGACCGTCGATTGTGTTGCATCGCCAAGTTCGGCGCCGACGCTGCTGATGAAGCTGAGGGCGGGCTCCAATACCTTCCAGTATGACGCAAGCTATTGGACCGACACTTCTGTGTTGAACGAAGCTGGCGGCGCTTCGGTCAGCGACTCTGACGACGAGGACGTCAAGATGTCGGCATTCAACACAGACCCGATCTCCGCCCTGACGTTGTGCTACAAGACGCTGGACAACTGCTACACGTACGAGCTGGGCGCGACGTACACCAGCGCAAGCGCTCTCTTCAGCTCGGGATTCATCCGCAGCGAAAATCTGGGTTATGGCGCTGGAGCCGCCGACGCAGCGAAGCAGGCCTGGACAGATCTGTTTTTGCCGCCGGGGACCCCGACCTGGTACGACGACTATTGGAACGGGAACGGAGGCGGCAATTGCAATATGCAGCGGCCAGGGATCAACACCCAGTGCAATGACAACAACTGGGCCCGCATCGGGTACTGCGTGAACCTCCCTGACCAGAGCTGCCAGCCATATGATACCAACGACGCCGACTCTCCTATTGGGATCGGGCTGAAGACGCAGAATTGGCCCAACAATGTCAATGCCCCTTTCGGGGAATACTTCATACACGGCGCTGGTTCGTCTGGCGTGCAGCTCTTCCAACACCAAGCATGGCTTTTCGCAGGATCGGCTACCACCGCGGCTTCCCCAACGCCCTCTCCGACGCCCTTCCCGACGGCCTTCCCGACGCCCTACCCGACGCCCTTCCCGACGCCCTTCCCGACGCCCTACCCGACGGTTTTCCCAACGCCTTACCCCACGCCGAGCCCGACGCCCAGCCCAACGTATCCTGTCGGTTGGCCGACGCCGCATCCAACGTTTCCTCCAGGGGCTGCCATGGCGGGCGGAGCCGGCGGAGCGGCTGCCACTGGCGACCCCCACCTGCAGAACGTTCACGGTGAGCGGTTCGATTTAATGCAGCCAGGCAAGCATGTGTTGATTAACATCCCTCGAGGAGTGCGCCCTGAAGAGGCATTGCTTCGAGTGCAGGCTGATGCGCGCCGAATGGGTAGCTCTTGCGCGGACATGTACTTCGTCGGTGTCAATGTTACGGGGTCTTTCGCAGAGGCAAGGCGAGCTGGAGGGTATCGTTACGCCGTGTCGACACGTGCAGTCGAGACTCCAGAATGGGTTGCTTTTGGGAAGGTTGAGCTGAAGGTTGTTCAAGGACACACGCAAAGTGGCATCAGCTACTTGAACGTTTACGTGAAACATTTGGGACGGGCAGGTTTTGCAGTCGGAGGCCTGCTGGGAGAGGACGACCACAACGACGTTATGATTCCTCCACCAGGTTGTACCCATCATGTGGGTCTTGTGGACGCTGATCTGGGAGTGAACGGCAAGGGTCCTTCCGTGTCTTCGGTTGCAGTGGCATATTTTTGATAATATCGCGCTTGCCGTGCATGATTATTCGTGACAATGCCATGCTACAAACGGAGTTTCTGTTCCGGGGCAGAAAAAAAAAGACCACCCAAACGTTCCCCAAACGCCTTGAAGAGGCTCCCAGGAAGCCAAACTTATTTACCGACTTCGGGCAATTCATACTTCTTGAAGACCTCGCCTTTCTACTTCCGATTGGCCTCTGAGGCTTGAGGCTCGTCCAATAAAGATCTCCATCCTCCTCAGCATGGACATTTTCTAATCCTCATCATGTGAGAGCTCTCGCTGGGGCTAACGAGATAAGCTTCGGATGACCCCCGAGACTCTCCCATACCCCTCCTCCCCATATGACCGCAAGGCCGAAACCAATCCTCGAAACGCCCGGAGGCGGGATGCAAAATTATCTTCAGAGGCTTCCACAGACCCCGAAATGGGCTCCAACAAAACTCCCGAAGACCTGTTCCAAGCCTCCCACACTTCGAAAATGCCCCCCGAGACGCGCATTCGGCTGGATTTTCTCCGAGGCCTCTCCACGAACATTTGGCAGATTGCACGCCCAATCTAATGGTGATGTCGATGACGACGATGTTGGTATTGATGGTTGTAAGGGTAGTGCTAATCATGCTGACGGTGGAGTTGGTTCGGGTGATGATGATGATGTTGATGATGGTGTTGATGGTGTTGAAGATGGTGGCAATTGTGACTCTCATACTGGTGCGTATTGTTAGGATGATGGCGGCCGTGCTGCTGCTGCTGCTGATGATGGCGACGCTGATGCTTATGATGGTGATGATTATGATGACTATGACGTTTATGGCGTTTATGGTGACGATGATGGTGACGATGATGATGACGATGATACTGATGATGATGATGATGCTGATGATGATGATGATGATGGTGACGATAACGATGATGATGACGATGCTGATGATGGTGATGACGGTGATGGTGATGATGCTGATGATGATGATGATTAGGATCATGATCATGACGACGATGGTGATGCTGCTGCTGATGATGATGCTGCTGATGATGATGCTGGCGATGATGGTGATCATGATGGTGATGGTGATGGTGATGGTGGTGATGATGACGGTGATGATGATGATGATGATGATGATTCGTAGTGGTGGCGGTGATGATGATGATGATGATGATAACGATGACGATGATGATGCGGATGAAAATGATTATGCTGATGACGAAGGTGATGCTGATGGTGATGATGATGTTGGTGATGTTGATGTTGATGATGATGGTGATGATGATAGTGCTCATGGTGATCATGATGACTTTATGGCGGTCATGATGACCATGACGACGACGTCGACGACGACGATGATGATGATGATGATGATGATGATGTTGATCATGAGTGATGATGACGACGATGTTGATATTGATGATGGTACTGAGAATGATGATGCTGTTGATGTCGATGACGACGATGCTGCTGATACTGATGATGCTGCTGATGATGATGCTGATGCTGATGCTGATGCTGATGCTGCTGCTGATGATGATGCTGCTGCTGCTGCTGATGATGATGATGATGATGATGATGATGATGATGATGATGATGGGAACCGACGCGGATGATTGCCGCGACGTCGGCGACGAAGACGACGAGTTTCAAAAAGACTACCAGGACCCCTCCCGGGCCTTCACGGGGCCCCCAGGAGCTCCCCAAGCTGGCCTTACCAGAGCGCACACAGGCCCCAGGGCCGCCTCCTCAGGGCGCGCAGTCGGCCGCATGTCCCCGGAAGCCTCTCCAGGAACATCTGGGCGACGACGACAGCGACGACAATTGTGACGATTGTGATATGTCGTGGCATCGTGTTTGTCATCGTTTTCGTTTGTGCCTGGCCCTCGTCGCCCAGGGCCTCCAGGACCAGGATTGGGGGGGGAGAAGGAGGCGAGGTCGAAGTCCCCCCCGTGAGCGGGCGCGGCGGGCCCGCCGCGCGCCGCCGAGGCGGAGGTACATAGCTGCATTCGAAAGGTTCGAAAGGCGAGGTCGAAGGGTACGGCTGCCCTTGCATCGGGGGACCTCGAAGATCCAGGTTCGATGCTGCTTGTCCTTCGGGGGCCCCTCCAGGCACATCCGGGCGACTACGACAAAGACGACGACCATGATTCCGAGTATGGTGACGATGCTGGTGATGCTGCTGCTGCTAATATGATGATGACGATGACGATGACGATGACGATGACGATGACGATGATGATGATGATGATGATGATGATGATGATGATGATGATGATGATGATGATGATGATGATGATGATGATGCTGCTGATGATGATGATGATGATGATGATGATGATGATCTATGGCGATGATGATGATGATGATTCTGGTGGAGCGGTCCATGGTGTTCATGACGATGATTTTGCTGATGTAGATGGTGACGTCGATGATGAGGACGGTGCTGGTGACGATGCTGATGATGATGATGAAGACGATGATGATATTGATAATGATGCTGATGCTGATAATGATGATGACGACGATGTTGGTGCTGATGGTCAACTTGATGATGTTGATGATGATGATGGTGATGATGATGATGATGATGATGGTGATGCTGTCCATGGTAGTCATGGCGATGATGTTGCTGATGCCGATTACTTCATCGATGATGAAAACGGCGATGGTGACGATAACGATGATGCTGATGATGCTGATGCTGATGATGATGCTGATGATGATTGTGATGATGATGATGATGATGATGATGATGGAAATCTTGATGATACTGATAAGGATGATGAGGATGATGACGATGATGCTGATGATGATGATGCTAATGATAATGACGACGATGATGATGACGATAATGACGACGATGGTGATGGTGCTGATGCTGATGATGATTAGGATGATAATTAGGGTAATGAAGATGCTGATGATGATTATGATGATGCTTTTTATGGTGATGATGATGATTGTGGTGGTGATGGTGCTGATGATGCTGATGATAATGGTGATGGTGGTGGTTGTGGTCGTGGTGTTGGGTGTGATGAGGAGGAGGGGCTGAGGAGGAGCCTCCGCAAAAAGAGCTGAGGAGGATGGGGAAGAAGTCGCAGGGTAGGGCGAGAAAGAGGAAAAGGGAGAGGAAACTTGAGGGAATGATAATGAATGACATTATCATATCCACGATGTCGGGAAAGGCAACACTGAGTTATCGCTGAATCTTGAGTGTTCCTTCCTCCCCTTCCGCCTGAACGCCAAACTTCGAGGACCACCAGTGCATAGCGCGAAGCGCCGATGCAGTCTTGTATCAGCATGTATGTGTATATATATATATGTATGTATGTATGTATGTATGTATGTATGTATGTATGTATGTATGTATGTATGTATGTATGTATGTATGTATGTATACGCACCTGTGTGTGTGTGGCATGTACTTGTGTATGCAAGTTTTGCTGCCCACTTGATGCCGAATGCGCCTGCTCGTGCCGTGCTCGAGGCTCCTGAGGGGCACGCCTTGAAGGGGAACCTGGTCTGCGGGAGCCCTCTTCAGCGTGATCCAGCGTGAATCTGGAAACCAGTGCAACGGCGCGCGATCCAAAGTGCCTGCGGGAGCAGGCGCGCAGGGCTGGCCCCCGGGTTGGCTCCTCAGCCCGTCGCCGCGCCGTCCCAAGGTGGACCCCGTGCGCGAGCTCATCGCCAAGCGCGCCGCGCAGGCCCCGCGCAAGCGCGGAACCTGGGGGAGGGAGGGGGGAGGGGGGTGGGGGGGGGGCCCACACCTGCGACACCTCGAGGAGCACGGCGCCTGGCTTCTCTGCAACCTCTGGAGTGCTGCTCTCGTGCTCTTGTCGCGCCCTGGGATGACCAAGCACGACACGGTACGAATGATCGATTCAGTCGGCAAGTTTCTTGGACCACGCGTTGAACAAAAACCGCATGTGTTCACGATGCCAGAGGTTCGGGGAGGCGGCCCAGCCCCCGCTGCCATCCCACAGTGCAGCTTCCTTTCGTTGGCCAGTCACCTGTAACGCGGTATTGCGACATGGAAGTCCTCCTACCTGTGGGTAAGCGTGTGCTCGTAGGAGTGAATATCGTGTTGCCTCGGGCCCATCCCGCCATCGTTCCTGGGTCGTGGGCCAGAGGCCTCTTGGAAGCCTCTTTCTTGGGGTCTCTCGAGGGGCCTCTCGGGGGGCTTCTCGGGGGTCTTGGGCTACACGTGGGTACTGTGTCAAACCTTTTGTGAGTTTCCTTGGGGCCTCAGAGGGGGCATCTTGGGGGCGCATCGGGGGTCTGTTGGGGAAGTAGTGTTCTTGATGCGAGGGCTCGGGGTGCCCCTTCGAGTTCGCGTTGTGGGCCCCTTTTGGGGCCCTCCTGGACTCCTCTTGGGCCCCTCTTGGGGCTCGGAGTTCGCCCAGGGGCAACATTGGGGTCGTAGGTCTTTCTGGAACTCTGGAGTCCCAACCTCGCTTTCAGGGCGTCGGTCAGCAAGCAGTATTCCATGCCCAGGACTCTTGAGGATCTGGGAGGCAATACTTTCAGTGCCTGCGGCACCGTGGCGGATTCGTCGATATGAAGGGCAGTTGTTCACCTTCGGCCTTGCAGATTCCTATTCCTGCATTTTTGCCAGCCAGCGGGTGGGACCCCTTCCAAACCAGATCCTCCAGGTCATCGTTTTTTTATTCATTGTTTTGCCGATCGGCGCGGGCCCCCCAACCCCCCTCCCCCCCCCATGGCGTAGATCTTGGCTGTTTTGGGCGCCTGTTTCGAGCAGGTGGAGTCTCCCCTCATAGGACCCAGTGCTGCAAACAGTCGCACTAAGCAGAGGTCCGGAGGCAGACCCCCCCCTCTGCCCAATGTCGAACCGCCAAAGAAAAAACGCTCTCTTGTCCCCGTGGACCCCCCGGACGCTCTCTGCAGAGACTCCCCAGGACCTCGGGCCTCCTTGGACGTCCGTGCCGGGCCTGGCCAGGGGGCCCCACAGCGGTCAGGAGTGGGGCCACACGGCCCCGCGAGAGCTCCGAGAGGCCCCAGGCGCCCAGCCAGATGGCCGAGGACGGCCCAAAGGCCCAACACCCCCAATAGTACCTCCAAACGTAAGAAGCCATTGGTTTGCTTGTGGTTAGCCATACGATTTTTTGATACTCGGTTCTTCGATCTTCTGGGCTTCTCAGACCGCCGAGTTGGGTTGCAACGCAGCCCCAAAACAACCCCAACGGGGTTGCAGATAGTCCAAGCGAGCCTCACACGACCCAGCAGGGCGCCAACATGGCCCGAAGGACTCCATGACGACCCGAGATGATCCCAAGACGCCCTCCGTAACATTTTTGGCTCAAGCTCTGGTCCGCTCCGCGCCGCAGTGTCAAGCAGTCTGCAGGAGGGTCATTGGGTATTGCTGCCATGGGGGCGTGTCGAAATAAGCCGGCTTGGGTCGGCAGCGAGCCCAGCCGCCCATCTTCACACGAGGTCAACGTTAGTCACAGCAGCATCGGTGCTTGAACTAGCTGATCAAGCCAGAGCGCCTCGTCCACTTGCACAACCATGGGTTGCGCGTGCCGAAGTGACATGACGTTCCTAAGTCGTGGATCCTCAATGTGGATGGATAGTTCGAGTAGGACTACCTGGAGAGCGTATCTATCAGTTGCGGTTGGATCTCAAAGGACCATCTCTATCTACATGGACATCATTTGAATCGCCGCTCTCATCTCTGTTCATATTTCGTTGCTAATTCCCTTCGTTCCGCCAAGACACAGGATGGTTATCCAGGGGCCAGTGTGGTCTACAGTGTGCAGACACTGATGAAGCAGGGTTGGTGCATCGGCAGCGGTGATGGCCGGCCCGCAGGGGTGTTTGTCGATTGGATGAGAACCCCACAGGACAATTCGAGGGAGCCCGCACAGACGAGGACACTACTGTCTTCAAGCGAGTGCTAAAGCGTACAAGAATTTAGTAGGGGCACGCAGACACGATCACACTGAGGCTCAGCGCGCAGGGTATTATGAAAATGTTTGGCCTAATTTCGCAGGTTATATCGCAGGCATCATTTCGGGCCCGCATACGATGCTGTTTGCGGACGGGCAGGTGCAAACATTATTGGAAACAGCAAGCGGTGATTCCTTGAAGCTGCCACTCGATCACTGGATTGGCGTCGCGAAGTACCAACCAATCATGAAGTGTTCAACGATATGGTCCAGGAGAAGGTCTTTACACACTGTGCCTACGAGCGATATTGCTATCCCACTACACCGCGGCACGTTCCTGAATGTCATGGACGATGCAACTGTGCGGGACATGCCGACCATGGGGTTGGGCGAGCCTGGAGCAGTGGGCTTCATGAAGCTGGTGCGGCACCACGGTCATGTGAGGTCGTTGGATCCGTCTGCCAACCAGATATCGGTACCATTTGAACGCTGGAACTTCAACACCGCGAATCAACGCACATGTTGCGCCCTGGCATTTTGACGTCGTGTCCGGCACACCTTTTTGGGGACGTTCGCCATGCGAATCCTTGGATTGTTGTAAACTCTTTAACCGAATGCGCTCGGCGATTAGGCGTGAGCCACATTTCGACAAGGAGCCGCCTTCCAACCGCAAATCTCACGCAATTTTTGAAGAGTCGTGTGCGCGGCGCTCGGGCGAGAACCATATTTTGAAAACTGCTCGTTCTCCATCCGTGACGTCCTCGCGATGTTTAAAACTTCTGTGCGCGGCGCAGAGGCGAGAGCCGCATTTGGAACTTGGACAGCCTTCCACCCGTGAAGCTCCTTGTGTGCGCGGCGCTACGGCGAAAACCACGTTTTGAAGACGACGCCCCCCACATGTGTGACGCCATTGCAAGTGTCCATCATGAGTAGAGGAAGTCCAGGGGGAAACGCCTAGCCCGCCCAACACACGCGCCTCGGGGTGCGACAGGGAGGGGTTGCCCATATGGCAAAGTTGGTGGAGGATGATGGGCAGGACTAAACAGAGGGGGAGGAGGAGGAGGAGGAGGAGGAGGAGGAGGAGGAGGAGGAGGAGGAGGCGGAGGAGGAAGGAGGAGGAGGAGGAGGAGGAGGAGGAGGAGGAGGAGGAGGAGGGAGGGGAGGGGAGGAGGAGGAGGAGGAGGAGAAGGAGGAGGAGGAGGAGGAGGAGGAAGAGGAGGAGGAAGAGGAAGAGGAGGACGAAACCTGACAGTAATACCAATACGAGTATTAATATTAGTAAATTGAAGAGTAGGAGGAGTGATACGATTATTTTTGATAATGGCTCGAAGGGGCAGAATTATAAGAAGAAAAAACGGATAATAAGACGAATTACCACTGACAGTAACAATGATGATGGGAATGATCGGAGGGACAAGGATGCGATTACGAATATAATAGTGGTAAGACGAAAAAGAAGACGAATCAGAGGAATACCAATAATACGAATCAGAAGCTATTACTGGTAAGCAGACTACCATGTTTGAAAAGGCTGTGCGGGTGGGAACCTCCTGTGCCAGAGCTTGGGGGCAGACGGGGGCGGCCGACATGCCAACCCAAACAGGAGAGCGCAGACCAACCAAAACTGAACAAGCGACCGCGAACAAAGAGACGAGAGGGCCATCAGGTTTACATCACAGGCTACAAGTGGGGCGCCTGCCCCCAGTCTAATCCGGGGCACTCGTCAAATCAAGGTTAAAACGGCCCTCGAGACGAGGGCGCACAGATATCTGACTTCCATGGGCCCACATAGGCCGTCCAACACATCACATCAAAGTGCGGACCCCCCTCGCACGGGAGGGGGGGGGGGTCGGGGCCGAAACTTGAGCACTGGCGAAACCGAGAGGGACGAGGGCGAGGGCGGGAAAAAGGACGAGGAGAACGAGAGAGAGAGAGAGAGAGGAGCGGCATTAGAGGGGGTACTATGAGTATAAAGGTGCTTTCGGAAAACATGTGTTCAAGCCAAAATGTACGGGGGGGACCTCCTGTGCCAGAGCTTGGGGGCAGACGGAGGCGGCCGACAGGCCAACCCAAACAAGAGAGCACAGACCAACCACGATTGAACAACCGACTGCGAACAGACCGAGACGATATTACCGTTATTTTCACAGCACTGGCTACAAGTGGGGCGGTTGCCCCCAGTCTAGTTCGGAGCACTCTTCAAATCCAGACTGAAACGGCCCTCGAGGCGAGGGCGCACAGGTGCCTGACCTTCGTAGGCCCACACAGGCCGTCCACACATCAGAGCGCGGAGCCCCGTCGCAAAGAAATGGGGGTCGGGGCCGAAACTTGAGCAGTGGCGGAGCCGAGAGGGACCAAGGCGAGGACGGGAACAAGGACGAGGATAGAGGGAGAGAGAGAGAGAGAGGGAGAGGAGCGGCACTAGATGGGGGTACTAGCAGAATAAAAGTGTGTTTGGAAACCATGCCTTTCAACCAAACTGCGCGGGGGGACCTCTTGTGCCAGAGCTCGGGGGCAGACGGAAGTGGCCGACAGGCCTGCGCAAACAAGAGGTCACGTATCAACCAAGCCTGAATATCTTACAGGGCACAGACTGAGACGAGATTGCCATGATTTTTGCAGCATTTGCTACAAGTGGGGCGCCTGCCCCCCAGTATAATTCAGACCACTCTTCAAATCCAGACTGAGACGGCCCTCGAGACGAGAGCGCTCAGGTGCCTGAACCTTCATGGGCCCACAAATGCCGTCCAACGCATCAAATCAGAGCGCGGAGCCCCGCAAAGGCCAAAAACCACCCTTCTGGCCGAAGGCCCTGCATTAAGGATTTTGAAAGACAGCGCCGCAGGTAGGGAGGGGGAGGGAAGAGATATGTAGATATTAGCTCTCCATTATCAACGCCCCCAGCTTTGGCACATATCCCTTTGAATTAATACAGACACAATTCAGCTAGTTACTTGATTGCATAGTATAGAGAGCGAGGGGGAGTTAGGCGGCGCCTCGGCGTCGGAGCGGGGACTTGCCCCTTGTCCTTGGACTCCCAACCTTGGGTCGTGCCCGAGGAGATGCGCAGCCAGAATCACTGCTGCCACTCGAAAGCTGAGAGAATGCTGCGAGCAGGCTCACCGCGAGTGGTTTGTCGGCCGCCTTGGACTTCCCCGGCGCTTTGGCCATCGCCATGCTTGGGGCCCGCCAAAAACGTTCGCCCTCGTCGATCTGATCTGCCTGGAGGAGGGGGCGCCTCTGGATCAAAACGTGCGTCTTGGTGTAGCGCTGCAGGGCGCTCGAGGTCGTCCAGCGCCCCCGCCTCCTCGCTGTCTCCAAGTCGCCTCCGTTGGCCACGTGCTGAGCTGCCCCAGCGTGCCTGATGCCGCGAGGTGGGCCAAGGGCTTCAAGGCCCAACCTCTCGATAGACGCTTGCCACATTCTGCGGTGCAGGTCGGGGGCGACTGGGATCGCGAGGTCGTCGTCCGCCAGGTCTTCTGAGAGTGTCAGCAGTATGCACTTCTTCAGGTCCATCAAAATTGCGACGCCTTGCCCCGAGCCGGTCTTAACTTTTTCGCCCCTGATTCTATCTCCCAGAAGCAGTGCCATTCGCCCGCATCTTGAGCTCCGCGCCGACGAACTGTCCACCCGAACTGTTATTCTTGCGTAGTTGTGCCCAATCCTGCCCGCGTAGCCACCCGCCCAGCTGCTCGACGACCGCGCGCGCCTCGAGCGCGCGCCCTGCCTGGCGCAGGTCGAGCATGATAAGCCCGAGCGCCTGGCAGGGGATCGGCTGGCCCTCCTGGCTCTGTTGCTGCCTCTCCCGCGCCTTCACTGCGCGAGCCGACAAGGGGTGGCAGTTCTTGCGGTCCTCGAAGATGCGCATGAAACCGTTGAGCAGGAGGCTGCCACGAGCATGCCCGAGCCGTCGCACGTGGCGCTGTCCGACAGAAAAGAGGCCAAAGCTTTGTCGCGCCAGAAAACCGACTTGAACGAAACGTTCAGCCTCTCCGCATCGGTCAGACATTCTTTTCTCGTGCGCAACGGTAGTCTTGTCGTCGACCGCGCGTAGGGTGCGTTATCCCACGCTCGTGGCCCCTTCGTCTGGAGAGGGGGCGGCCTCGCCGCCGCTCGTGCCGCGCGAGCTCCACGTAGGCAATCGAGCACGACCAGCGCCCAGCTCCAAGAGGGTCTCGCGCGAGATGCCGTAGCCGAGGCGATGCGCCCGCGCCCCAGCAGAGAGAACGTGGCGACCGAACCAGGACGCGCGCCACGAAACGGGGACGCGCCTGGATGTGTGATCTAACGCCAACGCAGCAGAACAAATGGCGACGTTCGAAGTCCAGTCCTCGTAGCCGATGAGATCGCCGATGCGGTCGGTCACGAATCGCTCGGGGCACATGGCGCAGCTGCGCGTGCCTTGGACCTCCCGCCGCCTTCGGCGCGTGCCGCCGCATGTGCTCCTGCTTCGTTGCCTTCGCCGCGCCGATGTCCAAACCCCTGCTCGGTCCGGCCGCCACATTGTCCTCGGACGCACCCCGCCCCAAGAACAGCTTGATGCCGAACGCCAGGGCCGCCACTGCCGTTTGTCGGGCCAAATGCAAGAGCCCCGACGCCGAAGAACGACCCTTCGACAGCACGCCCACGGCGACCATCGAATCCGAGAAGACCAGCACGCGCCTCCTCCACATGCGCCTCGTACGTGACATATGGTGGAGCAGCGCCGCGATCGCCCTCAACCCCGGCACGTTGTTGCGCTCTTCCCGTCGCCACAGGTCCTTGAAGAGCAAAGACCGCCTCTCCTCCTTCGTCCACTGCGCTGACGCAGGCAAGGCTTGCTCACGCCGTTTGACGACCTCGAGGACACCGCCCTCGAGTCGCGCCTGCGCTCCACCCATGATCGTGGTCTGGCGCGGCTCGATCGTGGCCGCCACCTCGGAGTAGAGTGACCTCCATCTCGCCCCGTGCCTGAAGCTCGCGGCATCCCCGCGCTCCGTATCGCCGATCTTCTCGCGTTGCAAGGTCCCGAAGCGCCTGTCGTTCGTCGGCGGCGTCGCGACGTCCTCCGCGGCCCTCTGGAAGCTGAAGATCTCGTCCAGCTTGGTCAGCTCGCCCCAGAGGTGCCCGAAGTCCCCGTCTACCTTGACCAACGCCGCGAAGATTAGCCCCTCCCCGTGGAAGAGCTTCGCCACCTCGAAATCCAGCCGTTGCTCCACTTGGGAGCCAGAGGTGACGGATGGACACGCCACCACGGGCGACGCCGTATACTACCAAAGAGGAGCTCCAGCCCACTCGGCTCCAGCAGTTCGTAGGACGGGCCCATCGGTATGTCGGAGGTCTCGCGCCAGGATGCAGTCCGAGCTCCCACGCCGTCGATGATCCTCTTGACCCCACTCGCCAACTCCAAGAAGCCTGGTCTCCCCTCTGCTGGGCCCACATGAGCCCGCTGCCTCGTCGTCGTCCTCCCCCCCCCCTCGCGCTCGACCTCTTGCTCCGCCGCGGCGAAGGCCTCGTCGGCCATGACGGACCAGGTCTGAAGGTAACCTTTAGCCACCTCCTGCCTGCGCTCGCTGGCGGCCGCCTCCGTCGCGACTGCCCCGTGGCCGAACTCCGATGCATCTGTCACGTGGGCCCGCGTGGCCCAGTCCGCCTTCAGGTTCGCCGTAAAAGTATACCGAGAGGTTGGCCAGCGCCACGGGCTCTGAGATCACGGAGGTCGTAAGGGGCAAGACCTCCTCCCAAGACTCGTCGCGCTCGTTGATCCACTTGTAGATCGAGTCCAGGATGGAGAAACCGAACGACAGATCATGGGCGCCCAGGTCCACATACCCAGCAGAGACGAGAGCTTCGCAGGCGACGCGAAAGGCTACCACGAGCGCCTCCGTCGCCAGCACCAGCTCCCTCAGCTTCTCGGGATGGACCGTTGCCTGGCATGGGCGGCCCCCCACGGCGATGCCCGAACCCCGCTGGGGCCCCGGACCCCGCTCCTCCATGTGGACCCCGAGGCCCTTCTCCACCAGCACTCGCTTCGCGACCTCCTTGCCCACCTCGATGTCGTTTGTCTGAGGGCCCAGTGGCCTGAACCCCCTGTTGCCGTCGATGCTCAGCATCGGGATCAGTTGGGCCACCTCAACCGACCGCGCAGGCCTCCCGTGGGCAAGCCCCCTCAGGTCGTGCCCTTTCACCTCCTTGATCGGGTCGGCGAGGCAGGAGGGGGCCAAGCAGACAGCCCAAGAGTGGCCTCTGACGGGCGCAGTGGCTCCTGCGCCCACGTGGCCAGGCCGAGGCGCCGGCGCCTCCCTGCCCCCCGCGCCTCCGCGCAAACCCCAGAGCTCGCGCGGCGACGCGCCTTCCCAAACGCCGTGCTCTGCCAGCTGGCTCGTCCACCTCAGCCTGTAGAACCAGCCTGGGATGCCCCCCGCGAACGACAACAGCCCCTTCTCCCCCGGGACCTGTGGCGACAGATCCCGCCCACTCCGCGCGCTCGGTGACCGCGGGCCTGTCCGCGGAGGCTTCCTGAACCTCGAGCTGAGGCGTCGGCTACCCCGGACCAGCCGAGACGCCCTGATATCCGTCAGACCCCTTTGCTCCAGGTGCTTCACCACCGTCTGAAACCCGACGTACTCTCTCACCTCCCCGACGTAACTGAACATCCCAGCTTCCCACATCCTGAGCGTCAGTGCCAATCGGTTCGACCTCGCTGACCCTCCAACCAGGATCGCTGTAGCTCCTCGTCTGCCGGTACTTGCCCCAGTCCACCTCGTCACCGCACCCCGGCACGAGCCCCTCCGCGTTGTCGAGGTAAGGCTGTGCTGTGGACGAGAGGGGGCGCGCGTCGAGGCCCTTCGTCACGGCCTCGGCGCCGAGACCTGATCCGCTACCAAATCGCACGTGTCGTCCTTCCTGATCGTACCCGTGCCTTTCTTCGCCTTCTCCGACGCGCCGTAGCCCATCATCTGCCCTTTCCCGAGACGGCCGAGAACCGTCAGCCTGTCAGCCTGGCTGGCTGACTCTCCCCGCCAGCCTGTCCCACGGCTCGTTGATGATCGTGTGCTGCACTGGGGTAGCCCCAGACCATGACCTCCTGGAAGGCCGTGCCTGCAGCTCCTCCACCACGCGGATGCGCCCACAAGCCAAGCGCCGAATGGGCGCCTTGGCCCGAGACAACCTCCTCCAGGTAACCCGCAGTTCCACCTCTGACAGCTTCGTGCCGAAGGCTACTGCCGCCCCGAACGGAGGGAAGGGAAGGCCCTGAAGAGGACCCCGCTGACGATCGGTCGACTCCGCCAAAGGAAATGGAAGACAACTGGACTCCATGGTCCCGACGAGCGATGCCCAACTGCGTACCCGCCGCCCCCTGATGCACAGGTGCTCGACGCTGAAAAGCACCAAGCAGGAGCGCCGCCACACGAAGTCCGTCCCACTCGTAGCTGACCGACCCTCACTGAGCCCACGGAAGAAGAAGCTACGCGGACTTACGCCTTCGGCGTCGGCTAGACAAGGAGGAGCCGCGAACCTCCTTCCCGCAGCCTGTTCGTCCGCGCTGCCGCGCCCTGACGCGCCTGCCCTGAGTGCGAGGAGACAGCGGAAGAAGAGGAGGAGGAGGATGAGGAGGATGAGGTGGAGAATGAGGAGGAGAATGAGGAGGAGAAGGAGGAGGATGAGGAGGAGGAGGCGGAGGGTGAGGATGAGGATGAGGATGAGGATGAGGATGATGATGATGATGAGGATGAGGATGATGATGATGATGATGATGATGAGGATGAGGATGAGGATGAGGATGAGGATGAGGATGATGATGATGATGATGATGTGATGATGATGATGATGATGATGATGATGATGATGATGATGATGATGATTGATGATGATGATGATGAGGATGAGGAGGAGGAGGAGGAGGAGGAGGAGGAGGAGGAGGAGGAGGAGGAGGAGGAGGGAGGAGGAGGAGGAGGAGGAGGAGGAGGGGGAGGGGGAGGAGGAGGAGGAGGAGGAGGAGGAGGAGGAGGAGGAGGAGGAGGAGGACGAGGAGGAGGAGGAGGAGGAGGAGGAGGAGGAGGAGGAGTTTTTTTTGACCTCTACAGATCCACCGCATAGTGCAACCAGCTGGCAGGGCGGGACCTGCAAGCTGTGAGGACAGAGGCAGGCAACCGTGCCAGAGTTAGTCAGAGTCGCCTGAGCCTTCTGCCAAACCTTGGACTGACCAAGGCAGCGGGCCAGCAGCGGAGGGGGATGCTGGCTCCTTGACCCAGGCCAAAAGCCTGAGTCATCAGCGCAAGTGAGACAGCTCGAGAGGCCGAGGGCCTCTGCGTCCAGGTGCCCTGGCACGATGTGCACCTGCCGCAACATCTCTAAGAGAGGGGGCAGGCACACAGGGCCCCAGGCAGACACCGAGCTGCGAGCGCAAAACCATCCAAATGCAGGGAAACTGCAACTGGAAGGGCTATCTCGTACCGACTGCCTTCGGCTGTGCAAGAGGGACAACGGTCGAGACAGCGCCCTGCCACGAGAGCCACGATAGCCCCAAGTAGTGGAGGGCAGGGTCGGTGAGACGAGCAACGCACATACGCACGAGGACGCACGCCCAACGCCATCAAACAAAAAAACAAAAGGGGATGTTGGGGCCCAGAACCCAAGCTCAAGGCCACAGCAACACCAGCCGAGCCACGGTCAGGATGAAGTCATCCCCGTGCTCGGAACAGGACGCGGTGCACCCTAGATGTGCTCGTACCTTCCCCCAGAAATGGGGTGCCTGACACGCGTGCACGACGGACGCACGCACAAAAAAGATTCGACCACCCACAAAAGGACGACGAGCCCGCAGTCTCTGGTGCAGCAAGCGCCAGGACGACCGTCGGACTCGCCCCAGATGTGGGGTAACGCACGGATGCCTGCCAAAAGGGTCAGCCGCATCGGGCCGTGCAGAAGAAAGAAAAAGAGACGGCGAACCCTCGCCACTGGGAAAAATCGACCACCCACACAAGGACGACGAGGCCAGTGGTCCCTGGTGCAACAGCGCCAGGATGACTACCAGTCTCGCCCCAGATGTGGGTGGGGTTAAGCACGGATGCCTGCCAAAAGGGTCAGTCGCATCGGGCCGTGCAAACAACTCGAAAACGGAATGGCGGCCCTGCGCCACAGAGAACTCAGTCCGAACTGTCCGACTCATCCTGGCGGCGTCTCGCCAGGAAAAAAGGCGTTTGATGTGGTCCTTGAGAGGGAAGCCGCGGGGCTGCGTCCTCTTCGGCCTCCAGCCGACTCCGCACGCAGATGAGCCCCTCTCGAAGGGAGGAGCTTGCAGCAGCGGGGGCCGAGGCGATAAAAGGCTCAAGGCCGCGCGCACAAGCCTCGGCGTCTGCCCCGAGAAGGGTCGGTGCTGGGGCTAACTCG